TACCAGAGCCAATCACCACCCTCCAGTTAGATCAACGGCTGCGATCAACCCGACAAGAGAATCAAATGGAGGGACAAATCCAAAACGAAATCTCCATGTGAACAAGTAGCTTTCACTGGAGGTAGAGAATAGAAGAAGCAACCAAGTCAGCAAATTAACGCGAGGTACGGCCTCTATCGCGGACAATGTGCCGGCACTGTATCACGTGGACAAGTTGCAATCTTGAAATGCCACGTCAGCATGTGATGTGGTTTTACATGTCATTTTCTTGGTTTTGGTGTTAATTTTTTGGCGAAATTTGCGGACCATTGAATTGTTTAAATTGAAAAAATGAACACCAAATAAGAAAAAGAGAGAGAGAGAATAGAAAAAATGTTGATACTAATGGACCCCCAAATTTGATTTTTAGAACAAAAACATGTGGGATTGTCATGAGTATCTTAATTATATTATTAATCATTGTTATTAGTTTGACACGTTAACAAATAAAAAAACTTTTATTGTTAATTCATGTGAAATACCTAAAATAGCAAAAATCCGTAGGCAGTAATTTTATTTGAAAAAAAGAGTAAAGTATAAATTTGATGGTCAAGGGGCATGTTTTTAAATGTTAGTAATTTGTACGCACATACTAAAGTGAAGGGTGTTTTTTGCAAAATTTTTTTATAATATGATTTTATTTTTATTTTTTTACACCTTGAAAAAATATTATTTCTACAATAATGATATGCATCGCGATTAACCAATGTCTAGTATAAAAAATAAAAAAATTAACTATTCCTCCTTTGGCAGTTATTAGCCTAGTTAATTTATAAGAACATTTTAAGGATTGATTATCTTTCCTATAACATAATTTAGTGAATTTTTATTTATACGTCTTAATCTACAAAAGAAACTTATGTTATGCTTGGTATGCAAAAATGAAATAAAATGAAATGAAATGTTTATTTCAATCATTCAATGGTTATTATATTAGAAATAAAATTCATTCCACAACTAAATCTATAGAATAACCGTTAAGTAAATTTTTTTAAAAATTAAATTCTCAAAAAATCTTAATGTTCTTAATCCAAAAACAATCACCAAAATGACTGCCACCTCCATTGTCTTTCACCTCTATCACCGCCTTTCCAACACTATCACCATTATTGCCGCCGTTACCACTATTACATTCTACCACCACCGGCTTCCACCATGTTTTTGCCACCCCACCGACACCACCTAGACGTAAGGTCTTTGATGCTACCATTGGTGGAATAAGTCAAAAACTACGGCTCCATATAATAGTAACGTAACGGAAAAAGTACAAACTACAAACAATGTGAACAAGCATAACCTATTTTTGTTTTTCTTAATTTGTGAATTAAAATGGAACAAAATTTCAAACCAACCAACATAAAACAATAAATTTCTCTTTCAAAGCAACAAGTCAAATATTTTTTCACACGCATGTGGGTATTTTTCGGTTTTTTCAAAAAGAACAAAAATTAAAGAAGGCGAGCTTTAACAATAATATAGACACAAATAATAATAATAATAATAATAATTCAGATTGACTAGCTTATTGGAATCACCAAAGAAAATATACCTTAAATTTTAAATAAAAAAAAAATGAATGTAACAAACTAATTAAACAATTGATGACATTAAAATTAATGGAGCATATCTCTGAAAATTGAACCAAGTCCTCCTAGTCATACCCGTTGGAAACTGTACCTTTTTGCCCCTTCTTTTAATCTAATCATACTCAAAAAATAATAATAATAAATAAATAAATAAAAATAAAAATAAAAATCAACAAACTACATTCTTTTAATTTAATTAGACATACAAAAAAGTAGATACATAATATAAAAAGTAAATAAATTATTTCTTATTTGCTTTTTGAATGTGATAAGATGATTAAGATCCACAGACATTGGGGGTCCTATGAAATCTTGAAGTTTATTATGCTACTAATGGAACAATTAACTAATAGGGTAGGGTTAGTTGTAATACACCTTTAGTTGTTTCATCTCAACATTTGTATACCTCTAGCTTTTGGAGTGTAACAAGAAATTAATAAATACAATTTTTTTTTTCTTCTTGAAATTAATAATAGACTTTGGGTAAAAATAGTCATTTATCATCATCCTAGTCAAAATTATACCGAAAATGAAAGGGGTCTTTTCGATCAACAACGTTATAGATATTATTAGCTGTCATACTATTAGTGTCGGTGCTTAATTATGGGAGTAATTAATTAGCATAATTTATCTCCGATGCACGATAATGGTCAATTAATATATTGATATAGAGTTTATATTTTTACATTGTCTATATCGTTATAAGGTAGTAAAGGAATCAAACTTGGTACAAATAATGCTCCGTGAATCATCATCTGGCTTCGCCAAAAATAAAAATAAAAAAAAATTATAAAAAAATAAAAATTCATCGTCTTGCTTCAATTCAAAACAAAATGATCGCGCGAGTCTATTTACAGAGTCCGGGCCCACACACCCATGCGTGTTGGTCCAAGCATATGTAAGTGTGAAAAGCTTTTTTTTCCTTTTCCCATACGAGCTGTCTAAAATCTCATTATTTTAAAAGGCAAATTACAATGACCTCTCTAGACTAATTGTAACTAAACTTGAGGTTTGTCATTTTGTTATAACGTGACCCCTTGAGATTTTTCCCATTTTACAATGACCTCCCCTCCGTACGAAAATAATAATTTTTTTGTAAGAAAATTAGTTTGAAGTGACTAAAATGCCCATCAACAACGTAGAAAGACACTATTACCCCTGTAATATAAACAAATGACAATAAAATTCATCTTAAATGGACCAAACTACCCTTAAACCAATTGCCTCTCTCTCTAGCCCACCTTCACCACTTCACTGCCACCATCCCTTCTGCGAAATCCATCCATAACCTCCCAATCAAATAATGTATTTATGTGCAACGCCTAAAAATTCCTCCGCCGACCAACTGAAACCTAGTTCCGTTCCTTGCTGTTGAGACAACCAATCATCGACAACCACGGCTACACGATTACATCCACCAGCTATCACGAAATCAATGATGAACTGGTACTTGGGTTAATCTCAGATCTGAAATTGATTTTCAGTCAAAATCGCACCTGAATAGCAATTCGGGTCCGCAATCGCTAACCAGAACTCATCACTTTGATCTTCACTTCCTCAAACAGAGGCCTCAATTCCGAAACAAAGTACTGTACATCTTCTCTGAGGTGTGTCGTACTCGGGTAGCCTAGAAATGTTCCTTATGATCTCGCCAAGTTGGTTCACCAACGAGTCTAAGCTCTATGAATTTAAGACCCACAAGAATTAAACAAAACCCCTGAGGTCATTGTTACAATTATGGTTAAGATTAGGATCACAATTATCAACATCATCACCACCACCAACCCACCAACCTTTTCTGTGGAACAAACCGACGTACATGAGCACACTTTTTGTTCAACAAATCAAAGAAGGCTAAAGAGGACCAAAAAAAGAGTCCCAACTGCTGTTAGAAGATGCAAGTGAATGGAATTGAACTCAATTCCTATAGGCCCAAAGGAGCTCTCTCAACCCAAATAAAAGGGGCAACATTACAGCCGTGCCACCGCCGCCGTGGGCCGAAGCTACGTCGGCCACCACAGATCACATTGCAGATCGCCACCACAGATTGTCATCATCGCTACAGGTTTTCTTCGCAGGTCATCATTGCCACTTCAAATTGTTTCCAGCGAAGGCGACTAAACTCCACAGCTATGGTGGTCGCCGAAAGTCCAGCCTCAAAATATCACAATCCATGCCGACGCCACAGCCACCACCGTCCTCAACCCCCCATAACCACCACTGATGGATTACAAAACAACTGTGCCAAGGATCTCGCGCTCGGCGGCAGAAAGATTGATCTCGCGACCAGGTTCAAGGTTAGATCAAAATAGTAGTGGCGTGGTTCATAGTGATAGGTTCAAAGTAGTTCATGGCGGCGGCAGCGCTGATAGAGAGAGGACGTGTGAGAATGAGAAAGAAAAGGGAAAACGTAATTGTATGGTTGAGGGTAAAATAGTCATTTTTCATTTTTATATATTTTGATCATATTTAACAATATAATAACGAGGGTAAATAAGTAAATTCATCATAAAATCTGACATAGGGAGGTCTTTGTAAAAAAATGGCAAACCTCAGGTTTAGTTGCAATTAATTCAAACCTCAGAAGAGGTCATTGTAGTTTGCCCTATTTTAAATGGTCCTATTTTTTGAACAATTTGTATGACCTTTTTTTTTATTTTATTTTTTTCATAAATTATATCATGAAAACAGTAATTCCATCAAAACCCTAAAATTTTGTTTTATTTTACTTATACGTCTTGCAAGTGAAGAGAAATGAATACTTATTAGTTAATAGGGATGATAATTTATTCCGTCTCATCGGTATGGGCCCTATATCTCATTCCGTCATGTTTAAATTAGTTTTGGAGGATGTTTACTTGAATGAGAATGAATTTTAGGAAGAAATTCTCGCTTGTTCAAACTGGGGGAAGGTCACCCTACCCCACCCAGTCGGTTTATATTGCTAATTTACTACTAGTAATATATATGTATTATGTATATAAATAAGTAATAGGAACTCTATATCCTAATCTCCACAAGTTACCAGTTATGTGATTATGACCTCTAAGCATGTATTGTAATACAAATAAGAATTATTACAAATGATACAATCTCTTTTCTTTAAACAGAGATTGAGTGTTCGAACTTGACAGAGACAATATTGTGAATTTATGCGGTTTTAAATTGATCCTTGTTGGTCCGTAGGGCCCAAAGAAGGGATTAGAGAGAGGTGTGACTGTTCAGTGACCTTTATGCTCAACGGCCAAAACTACCAAAGAACTGTGGAATCCCCGTAAATCCGGTAATCAAAAAGCAACTGTGGACCCCACATGCTTAGTTTAATCACGCCATCTCCCCCGGCTTTTATCTCTTTATAAACCCCCCGTCACTGACTTCATTCCCCCACCACTCTCTCTCTCTCTCTAAGAATTTCTCTCACTAGAGATACAAATTAAGAGAGCCAATGGCAAGTCATTCACTACTCTCTCTCTTCGTCCTCTTCTCTCTCCTAACCCCAACCCTCATTGCCTCCAGACCAGTTCAAGATCCTGAAGCTGTTGTACAAGAAGTACATAGGTACGTAAGAGGCTCCACTGTGTCCCTAGTAGTGATCGAGTCTGAATTCTCTACAGTATAACATAATATGTTACGTATAATATATAATGTGTAACATTTCTAACAAATTGTGTCACATTTTCTTTGTATGCAGGAATATCAATGCGTCTAGGAGGGGCTTGGGCTATCTCTCGTGTGGGACCGGAAATCCGATCGACGATTGCTGGCGGTGCGACCCCGATTGGGAGAACAACCGCCAACGGCTAGCCGATTGCGCGATTGGGTTCGGTAAAAACGCGGTGGGGGGAAAAGATGGCAAGATTTACGTGGTCACGGACTCGAGCGATGACGATGCGGTGAACCCTAAGCCGGGGACCCTACGACACGCAGTGATCCAGAAGGAGCCGCTGTGGATCATTTTCGCGCGCGACATGGTAATCAGGCTGAAGGAGGAGCTGATCATGAACTCGTTCAAGACGATCGACGGCAGGGGAGCTAGCGTCCACATTGCCGGTGGTCCATGCATTACCATACAGTACGTGACCAATATCATCATACACGGGCTTAACATACATGACTGCAAGCAAGGAGGGAATGCTATGGTGAGGAGCTCCCCAGACCACTTCGGGTTCAGGACCATATCGGACGGCGACGGTGTGTCCATCTTTGGCGGGAGCCATGTGTGGGTGGACCATTGTTCGTTGTCAAACTGTAAGGATGGGTTGATTGATGCCATTCATGGGTCCACAGCTATCACTATTTCAAACAATTATATGACCCACCATGACAAGGTCATGCTTTTGGGACATAGTGATTCCTTTACTCAAGACAAGAACATGCAGGTCACAATTGCCTTCAATCACTTTGGAGAAGGGCTTGTCCAGAGAATGCCTAGGTAAAGTAGTATGAAAATAAATATTAAGATGCATAATTAGGTCTATTGGCTATGTACCATTATTTGATATTTACTCAATCATCAACCATCCATTTCTGAAAATGGACGGTTCATGATTGAGGATGTATCACGTGAATAATACTTGTCTCTTCACCGGTAATGAGGAGTTCATCCTCAGCACTGGTATGGATGGACACGTGTCATAAGTAAGATAGTATCAAATAATACATTTATTAAATCTAAAGACTTTAATAAATAGAGTCTAACAAAGATTCTTCTCCGTAGTATTACCAAGGGTGGAGTTTATTGTTTTCCAATTTCAAATACTAATTTTGGTTTAATTAGTAAGGTGGGACCGTGCTTGGTTTGATATCAATGTGACATGTGCATTTTGTTTTTCACACATGCAGATGCAGACTTGGTTACTTTCATGTGGTGAACAATGACTACACCCACTGGGAAATGTATGCCATTGGAGGGAGTGCTTCACCCACCATCAATAGCCAAGGCAACAGGTTTCTTGCACCAGATGACAGTAACAGCAAAGAGGTAAAATTTCATTTCTTTCTGACCTTTTTTCGATAATGACGAGAGCCTCGTGCACTATGCTAGTCCAATATCAAGTATTAAGTCTGAACTTTATATGTGCAGGTGACCAAATATGAGGATGCACCAGAGAGTGAATGGAGGAATTGGAATTGGAGGTCTGAAGGGGACTTGATGTTGAATGGTGCATTTTTCACGCCGTCCGGTGCCGGATCTTCGTCGAGCTATGCTAGGGCTTCAAGCTTGGGTGCAAGACCATCTTCTTTAGTGGGTACAATCACTACAACTGCAGGCGCACTTAATTGCAAAAAGGGTTCTAGATGCTGATGAATGGAGACCTAACAACACATTGTTAGGTGACTTGGTGGTGTTTGATTTTAGAATGCCACAAAAGTGAGTAGAGAAGGAATTAAGGAATATAGGAGGGAGGAAAAGTAGGGGGGAAAGAAGTCAAGGGGAAGAAAATGGGGTGGATTTTAGTGATTTACTTTATTGGCCTTTTCTATTCTTCCCTCCATTATATTTTTAACTTTTTACTTTTTTTTGTCTTTTTTGTTTCCTTGACTTTTTTGTCCCATACAACCTCTGGCATGTTACTCTCTGGCCCATTAGAGAGAGCAAGTGCAGAAGTGTTGATTTAGTCAAATTATCTATATTTAAATTAAAACTCTCTCTTGTTATGAGTATGTTATTTTTTTTTTTTTAAGTTTTTATGAATATGAGTTGAACACAAAGAGGATCTAAAGGAAGAAAAAAATCACTGAGAATTCAAGTGAAGACACAAGTAAAGTTCAAAAAATTATCAACCAAATATATTCAAGTGACGGATAGAAAGTTCTAACCACTGCAAAACTTTAAGTTCAAGAGGTCATTTCATTAGACACCATGCATAAAGAAATGTATATACATATATGTATATATATAGGTGAAGCCAAACAATCTACAACATTCAGTCATTATACAATTTGGACCACATTACTATATCCATTGCATTTCTAACCATTGAATTGCAAATGCTCTTCAGCCAATTCAGGCACCAATTAGTATATACAAAGATTCAATAAATTACCAAATCAGACACTCCACCTTTTGGGGCCCACTTAGGCATTTAACAAAGGGAAGGAATTAGGTTCTGATGGGACAAGAGAAGATCATACTCTTAATTGAGCCGCCATCCGTGGAGTAAATTTAGTTGCAACAATATATTTGACAAATTAAGTTGAATTAACTTCTGTAGATTAATAAAGAATATATACTCCTATTAGGGCTGCCTCATGCATGATTATATGTATTTTTGTATGTGTATGTATATATGCATATATACATATGTATGCACCAAAAAAGAGTAGGTACATCCTTGCAAGTGAAAAGCTTTTCCTTTGAGCCATTGTCATTGCTTTTGCTTTTATATATTCTTGCCAATCAAAGCATGGAAGGTGAGATGTGAAATGAAGAGCAAACAGCAGGAAAGAGGGAAAACAAAGAAATTATTCATTTTTAAAGCACACAATGGAAAACCAGTTTTGGTTGGCTCATTGTCGCGGTGTCTTACTCTTACAAGGCTAGCGCATTCACATTACACTAGGGATTGTAATCCGGAAGTATCTCAAAATAAATATCTATTTTTCTATTTTTATTTATCTCAAAATAAGTGTCTCATTTGAAAAGTCATTGTATAATATTTTGTAATATTACAAATTTAACCTTCTTGCATTGAATCCATAAAAAGTAAATCATTACATCACTATGGACCTGTAGGGGTAAATTTGATAATGCATTCACTCTTAAAAAGTTTGTTTGTTAAACATGGACACTTATTTTGGGACCGGGAGTATTATTATCAGTATTATTTTTCAAACAGCCTAAGATTGCATCTATAAGGCCACAAATCAGTTTTGCGGAGATGTATCTGTTTTTCCTGGGAAGACTTTATTTAGCAGAGAAGGTTTAATTAGTATAAAAACCAAAAGATCAAGCGTAGTCGTATAATTTACTTTATTAAAATAAAGAAATGGAGCACCAGGAGCACAAATATCACTTCCCTTATTATTTTTTATTTTTTTTTATCAAAGTGAATAATTAAGGGTTCAAGTTCTCAACTTCTAACTTTCTGAGTGATTTGTTAAGAAAATGAAATTAAATTATTGTCTGATTTTTATTTTTACAAACGAAACACAAATTATGGGTAGGTTCAATCATAACATGTGCCGTTTTAGTGCAATTTTGGAGATAAATTTACCACCTCCATGACAAAGACTGCTCAAGCGATTATGTGCATTATGGCATAGTGTAATTGGAGTTGAAGAGAAATTGCCGAAGAAAGCATCAAATGATTTATATAAGGTGCCTTTTTCTTTTTCCAATAAATTATGACTTATGGTGCCTTATAGCATGTGTTTTTGAGTAATCAGCACTCTATATTATTTCACATCATTACATCAACAAAAAATTAAATAAATAAAGAAATAAAAATGCAAAGAATAAAGAATTGCATGTGAAAGAATTATAATTTCAAAATTTAGTGTCATAAAATAAAGATAAGTTTACAGCGTAATGAATTCGAACAAATATCAGTATAAATTGACTGAATCGATCGGTTCATGAAGATATGTAACGATATCGGATCCTTGAAAAAGGATTACGAATCGATCGATATGTCATGTATCGATCGATACGATGAACCACAATCGAATTCAATACGATGAACCATAATCGAATTCGTTATACCGCGATCACGTTTAATTATGAATTAATAATTTTCTTGAGGATATATGGTTCAATTGCTTTGAGTGTTATGACATTGACATCTAGGGTCCAACCATATGGCAGACAACTAATTGACCTACTTGAATCATGAGAAAGTGAACCCATTGCACACAATGCTCCAATCGAGCACATGCACTAGTCCATCATTAAATTGGTTCGGTTACATCTTGACTAGGAATTTTGAATTTTATGAACATCAACAATTTTAATCAATTCCCATATTCAAAAGCAAAGTACAGACCATTTTTAATCAGTGTGTTAATTTCCCACATATATCATTAGAAAGCTCACATGTCATCTGTTAAGTTAAGCAACAAGGCATGTGTGTCACTTTCTAATGTCAAAAATTATTCAATAATTAGGTATGTTACCTACTTGAAGTATCCCTATCAATAAAAACTTTCCATTTCTTTTAATAATAAAAAATAGCAATTCAACATATCAGATTCTCGATACTCTCAAGATATTAAATATTTTTTATCGATACTTTCAAGATATTCTGGTATGAATATGTCCAAATTTTGGTACGTCCAATTTAACATATATGATACACAATGGCTAATATATAATGAATACAATAAATATTCCTTTACTATTCAGTTTGTAGCACCACAATATTTTGTTCTTTTGTATTTGATAATTGAAGGGTATAATATGGAGGGAACTAAATTTCAGCAGTTCATTACATCAGCAGTCAAAGCTTGACTGAAGTGTGGAGGACATTCCTCCATCAAATAATGCTCATTTGCAGCCACAATTCATGTAGACAATGTAAAAGATTGTATTGGATGATGTGTGTGTGTGTGTGTTTTCTCTTTTCTTTTCTTGTTTTTTCTTTTCTTTTTTTTTTTTTTTTTTTTTTGGTTCACGTAAATACTCACACATACTGTTGCCTACATTGGGGATCGAACACCTTCCCTCTTTGAAGATTGAGAAATTACACCATTGGACTAGAGAGTAGAGACCCTTTGGTGTGTAATGCATGCATGTTATTGAATAATTACATTTAAGTTATCAATATATACCAACCATGTTTGGTAGTGTGAAATTAAAATTGGAAAAAAATCAGATCGATCAGCCCTCTTAATTTTTTATAAAAAGAAAAAAAAAAAAAATTGTATCTATGAAGGTCCTAATTATAGTGAAATAGCATTATTTTATTTTTAAAAATAAGATAATGTTGTTTGACTATATATGAACTAATAACTCCTCTACTTTTCAAAGTAAAAAGTGAGAATTCGAGTTCATGGGCTCGCTCGGGTCACAAGCTGGCTTTGCTAAGTTTAAGATATGAGGATGTGCAGCTCATGGGCTCACTTGGATATATCGGATAGAGGTTGAACACTGGGCCCAGTAATGTGGAACTTGGCCCACTTTCTTATGTCGGGCCCATTACTCAATATGGGCTAGCCCATTACTCAATATGGGCTAGCCCATTACCTAGAGTTTGATTTAAAAATCTAACTTCATTGAATGAGGACTAGCTTAAATATTGGTAACAATGCCATGGGTTTGGACTACGAACTTACAATTATATGCATGGTTTTTTTTTTCTAGAACAATCTTATATCAATCCCTCTCCTCTGAAAAACAATATATATATATATATATCCCTCTCCATCCAAGGTGTTTGGACCAAGTAATAGCATCACTCACAATTGTTAATAGAAAATAGCAATTCAACATTGGCCAGGCCAACCTCGAACAAGAGCAAGGCTACGAACAATTCGAATAGTAGTGGGTTTAACAACCGGACTAAATGTCTTATTATAATCAACATTAGGGCATTGATAAAAACCCCTGGCAACTAGACGGGCTTTGTAGCGATCAATATTATCATCGGAATGTCTAATTAGGAAGGAAGCATATTATATTCTCGATATCTCAGAGATATTAGGTACTTTCTATATTATCGTCCAACATATGGATTGACCTAATTATTGAAGAAGCAGAAGAAACCATTTGTTGTATTGCATCACTAGACATACGAGTGAAGCAGATCAGTCACATTCAAGTCATGACCTTTTTGTTTTCAGAATTGCTAGCCTTAAAAATGCATGATCTAACTAACTTGTCACCAATTTGTTTTCTGAGTTGCTATTAACATGATACAACCAACTTACACCAACCGATACGCAATGCGATGCACACCCTTCCTAATTTGTTTCCAACCCTATCCATATCTGTAATTTATAAATAATGCTTCTTTGAATTCTGATGAAAAGGAATGAAATACAGAAGGTTAGGCAATTACCAAGGTTAATAACCTATGTCACATGCACCAAGAGCAAATACAAGAGCGAAAGCGTGAAAGTCACAAAATCTAAGTTACACAAAGTGGGAGCATGAGGACAAAAACCTAAGTCACACGCACCGAGAGTAAGTACAAGAGCAAAAGTGTGAAAGTCGTAAAATTTAAATCACACAGAATGAGAGCAGGAGCGGGAGAGCCTTGGTATACTATGTGCTTATATGATAATAACACCAGATCATCAAATAGATCAACCTCTTAATCAGATCGTATATCAGTGGTTCGGTGGAGTCTGATTCGTACTACTTTGATCCAGCTGATTGTTGATTGAAACCCTAACTTTAGAGGAAAGTCTCAGGTTCAGAATTTAATTGACACCGTCATCAAATATGTGATTAATTGGTGATAAGTGCCTGAAATTCTTACTCTATTCATCTTGTATTGCAGGATATATGGAGGATCTTATTCGTTTGGAGAAGGAAAGGAATATACGTCCCAGTCCTGAAATAGATGCTTTAATGAAGGTAGTCATTATAAAGTTTTTTTTTTAGCTTGCCAAGCTTTCATATCTCATCTCCATTATCATCGCCTTAATCTCATATGAATGAAGTTGGTCACATGAATTCTCTCTCTAATGACCTACTATACTTAACTTTTAAAAATTATTTTTAATAACCTCATTCCATTTAATAAACATTTCCCTTTGCTCTTATTCGTTGTGCAGGGAAAATTGAAGTTTCGAGCAATACCAACTATGGCTTTATGTTTCTCTAAGAAACCCAATAGATTTTTAGCGCTGCATCGGCTGGGATATTGATTTACATGTCGCTAGTAGATCTTCATGCAGCTGATTTTTGGGTTCTAATGTCTCGTTTTGGGTCTGCATGTATGTCTATCTTGGCCAAATGAGCTTAGCTACTATTATGTATTCTAATATTTATTGAAGAACTGAAATGAAATTTATATATATATTCTCTTTTCACCATTGGGATGAGTCCTGACACACCACTGGTAAAATTGCTTCATTGCAAATTATTGTGATTAAAAAAGTCATGAGTTCGAAACAAAAAAACATAGAAAAAGATTGGTCTTGCTTATCTCGGTCGAATATCATACCATGCTTGTTGGGTCCAGTTTGGTCTTTTACTAATTGGGCTTAGGGGCCTCCAAGTGGAACCAAATTTTGTACTAAGTTACTAGCACTACCATAGTTGTATGGGCCAATCAATTCAACCCAATTACAATATTTCTCTACCAAAAAGAAGTAACTATAATTACAAAAACTACACAAATTTATATAAAAACATTACTCGTCTACAATCATATTAGCTGTAAAGAGAATTACAAATAACATGACAAGTATTATTTTTATGTAATACCCAATTGATAAAAGTTGTAAAATTCCGTCTTCATCACACAAATTTAAATGCCCTCTTTTAAAAAAAATCAGTTTACATAATACACCATGTATAAGACAGTAGAAATACCTTTTGTTGTCTCCACTAGTATATATTGATGAACAGTTACACCTCTGATTTTTTTGAGTGAATAAAATCTTGGGCACTTATTGCGTGTGTGATTCAAAAGTAAATCGAAAAAGTTTATTTAGCCTCACCCAAGCTGAGGCATGGTAACGATTTTCAATACAAAGGTGCAATTATTAGTAACTAAAAGCTTATACTCTAAGCTTTAGCTAATAAATTAATTTCCCAATTTTGTGATGAATAATAGTGCTGCTTGGAATGAACCAGTTGTGGAGACCATGAGACAACCCTTTTAGAGGGTCAAAATCCTCTCTAGTCTCATTTTTCGGCTACGATCCTGGGCAGTTGAAGTTCCTCACTATCAATAGTTAATTTCATTATTATAACTGTGTAAAGTTCACTTGTAACCAAATAGTAACAAAATTCAAATAAATGAAAGTACACCAATATAATAACAAAATCCACCATCAATACTTGATAGTGATGAACTCAATGTACAGAATCAAAAAAAAAAAACCCATGATTAGACGCTTTACCAACTAAGCCATTGGATAATGCCCGGTTTAGGAGCAGATTTGGGAAGCCAGACCAAAAGTCTGTCCTACCTTAGCTTCTCTCTTAAGATTGTTAATTACTACTGTAATAAGGAATTATATGTCTATGCTCACGACTACAGGGTCTAAGACCCTTCAATTCTCTAAGAAGGAGATGCTACAAAACTGGGAAGAGCCTGTCCTTTACACTCAAAATCTTCTTCCCGGCCTATTTTTCTATCCTGGACTTCTAATGTGGTTTCGGCTTATACCCATCGACAGCAAAGTTTCGTGTAGCAAGAGGCAGTGCTAATCGAATTCCATCAAGTTCAGGTTGTGCGATAACTTGACAACCTAGACGAGACCTGCAGAAAATCATTATATACAATTTACAATAGCTTTGGTGGTGAGAGAATTTATTGACCAGTTTCAAGATAGAGGGGACCTACGTCTCTGTAAGGCCAAAAGCAAGATCTAGCATGTCATTCTCTTCATCAGTTGGATCTTCTAGTTTATTGTAGTAACCGGTATCCTAACCAAGATTCTAAAGAGTTAACGCCATAGTAAATTAATGCATCGACAATAATCATAATCAATACCCTCAAATTAAATGAGAAAAAGCAGAATAGAAGCCAGAGATATCTTAGCAACGAAATGATGTTGAAGGCAAGATCACTTGAAACAAGTCATGCAGAGAAACACTACTTCATCAGGTTAGTGCTTAATATGCATTAATCTTATCTTGGCAGCACAACAATTAATATGGAGACACAGATATTCAATAACTTACCATCACGATCACATGACACGTAGAACAGGCAAGGGATCCTTCACATGCTCCTATAATTAAATTGAAATTAGTTAGTTATTAAACGGAGAAGTATAGAGGAGTGTTGAGCAGTTCTGTACTTGTCAAGTTTTAGATAGTTTCATCAACTTTTGATGTCAAGGATTAGCCAATACATCACAAGTATAAAATTTGATCGAACGATGCTATACTGCTCATCTTGTAAGGCTTATAATTAGTTCAATACGCTTATAAACATTAACATTATTAAAAGGATATGCTGAATTGGCGTAAGGTACAGCCAAAGAATAACATGCCTTTTAAGTGCTTACCTTCAAGTTCTATGTCATTCTCATGAGCAGCTTCTAACATTGACATTCCAATGGGGACCTTAATATGCTTCTCCTCACCATCTTTGTCAACAAAAGTCACAGATATTCTGCAGAATCATACACAAGGGTATAGAGAGTTCCATTAGAAAATGTGACTAGAGATATCAGCCTGTAAATTTTCATAGTCACGCTCCAAGCATCAAGGATGCTGGCCACTCATATTGCAGAAAAGATAATGTGATCATCTAGTAGCATATTGCCTGACCAACATTCTGATTTGATCACCCAATTAATGAAACTTATTCTGATTGATACAACATTCATAGGTGATTGATCAACATAACAGTTTCAAGAGACACTTCTGAGTACTCGTTTGGGTCTGATTGGAATTGTGCTTAGTTGGTGGAATATCCACCCTTCAAAAACATCCATTAGTGAAAAGAACAAAAGAGTTTCAAGGGCCACCTCTGACTTTTTGTTTAGGCCCGACTACAGTAGTACGTAGTAATTGGTTGATGGAAAATCTCCCCATGTAAATCAAAGATAATTGCATTATATTTAGGAGATTCGGTCATCTTAGCAAATTCTCCATCCGTCCCATATTAGTTGTCTATCTTTGGGTTTACTTCTTTTCAAGGGGACATGCAATTATGCATTTGTCCCCTTTCCAAATTGTGAGTAACTTTTAACCTTTAAATATATATAATGCCAAGCTGAAAGATTTTTGAAAAGTTAAAAGGGTAATTATGGAAAGATTGTATTTATTTTGTTTGACTTTTCAAAATGGACAACGAATTTGGGACATCCTAAAAAGGAAAAGTGGACTACTAATATGGGACAGAGAGGTAGTCGCATTTATCCGAGGTATCTCTATTGGTACAAGTGGGAAATTTAGAGTACAACATTTAGGCCAAAAGGACTGCAACTAATTTATGCTATTGTTTGGAGGGAATACATTCTCCAGCTAGAGCTCTTGGTCAATTTATCAAGGTACTTGGTCATTTTTTATCTCATATCACCTTCTTTGGGTTCCTCTACTTAGTTTTATCCCTTGCTAATTTGAACAAAACTCCATCATGTATTTAAACTACTTCTAACAATGTATTTCCTATACCACCCTCCCTCCTCTTCCTAGAAATATGTATACACACACATAAATAAGTAAAAGGATAAATATATATATATATATATATATATATATATATATATATAAAATTAAAAGAATTAGAGAAGTTCAAGATAACTGCTCCTACAACAGCTACTTCCCATATATATAAGTATGAGCTTACTTTTGTTTTTCTTCATTCCCGTCTTCTTGAGATTTATCAGAAGCTGTGGTAGAAAAACGTCCATGCCTCTGAGTACAAAATGAAGATTGGAGTAAGGAATAGGTTACTCGTAGTGGTTGAAAGATTTTGGCAACTGAAAGAAGCTAATAAAATGCCTAAACTAACATAACAGTTCGACTAAAGAACTGCAAGAAATGTACCAGAAGAACTGCTGAAAAGGAACAAACTTAAAAGACACTAAGAAAAACTCCTCAATTGCCTTGGATTTTTTGGTGGGGTGTCTATTGGGGGAAGTTATTTATTATTATTTGGAAGGAAAGGGGAGACGGGGGGAATTGATGCAATCCATAAGAAGCTTAAGAAAAAAAAAAAACATTTAAGTTAAAGAAAGCCACTTTCAAAGCATGTTCAATTTCATGGTTGAGCCAGCTTGGGACCTTGCATTACTAAGCTTTGAGTACCAGAAGAACTGCTGAAAAGGAACAAACTTAAGACTCTAAGAAAAACTCCTCTATTGTCTTTGATTTTTAGGTGGGGTGTCTATTGGGGGAAGTTATATTATTATTATTTGGGAGAAAAGGGAAGACGGGGGGACAGGGAAATTGATGCAATCCATAAGAAGCTCAAGAAAAAAAAACAAATAAGTTAAAGAAAGCCACTTTGAAAGAATGTTCAATTTCATGGTTGAGCCAGCTTGGGACCTTGCATAACTAAATTTTGAGTCATATTGAGTCACAACTTAGTTGGATTAAGTGCTTATCCAACTAAATGCATTTGATAACTCAATTAGAGTATCACCTAGAAAAATAAGTGCCACTTAAAATGAGATAAAATTGTTTAAGTGATAGTGACTTCACTTATCATTGAATTATTAAACACTTAAAACTCAAACTACAACAAAGAAAATCTCGATTTACGATTATTGCTTAAAATTCAGCACTTAAAATTTCCAGCTTTACCAAACAACACGTTCCATTGCATGCATGCTATATCGAATATTAGAAGTCAAGTGCTTTATGTGATGGAGCCAAAAATTTGTTTCAACGGGGGTGACTGAACAATAATAAGATATATAAAAATTAATTATTTCATAATAAAAATAAGGATAAAGTACAGCAACACCTCTTGAGGTTTGCCAAAAGGACACCTAGATGAAAGTTTGCCTATTTTAGGACAATGATACCCCCTCAAGTTTGATACAGCTACCAAAGACATTCCAATAGTAATAAATTGGTATTTTTACCCTTTGACTTTTATATTGACAAACTTGAATGTTGAAATGACATTTCTAACCTCATAACCATTACCATTTCTTTCCTTCTCTCCTCTCTGTTCTCTCTTCCTCCGCCCCAACACCAACACACACACATACTGTCACACATATACACACACACACATATATATATATACACACCCACACACACATATATATATGTATATAGAGATACATACATACACACACACACAAGGTGCAGCGGCAACGGGCGGCGTCGGCAACGGCAAGCCGCCTCTCCTCCACCATCGGCCGGGTTGCCTACAGCGGCAAGAATCAGCCGCGCACGAATCAAGGTTCTGCCAGCCGTGTTCCTCAGCCCCTTCCAGCCACACGTATGGACCCAGTAGCCGTCGGGATCCGGATCATCCAACAAGACTGCGCAATCTTTTCCAGAGCACCGCCATCTACCGTCCCTCCTCTCTGGCTGTCCAAGCTGTCAGCAACATCGTGAACGTCGTCCCAAAATCCACCACCATCCCACCTTTACCTCCTCTATCACCCATTTTCATGCTCTCCGACACCGGAATCCGCCACTTCCCAATGGTGAGTACTAGTGAGAAATTGACATCAACGCAAAATTGATTGGACTAAGGACATGGTCTTCTCGGCTTCAGATTATTCCGATTAAGATGAAGCAGATTACAGCAAAGAGGAGCTTAACTCTTCAACAACCTCGGCACCATCCCTAATCTTTCATCTATGCTATGTCAAATCAACGATCCATCAATGCTGCCCCAAACTACGAAAGTCGCCCTTCTATTAGTTTTGGTGATATATATATATATAGAGAGGGAGAGATAGATGAAAAGGGTAATTTGGTCATTTAATTATTTTGATATTTTATAATTAAAATTAATAAAATAGTGAAGGGTAAAATGGACTTTTCACATGTTTTAAAGCTATGTTTGGATGGAAAATTTCACAAGGAGGTGTGGTTGTCCCAGGCAAACTTTCGTCTGAGTGTCCTTTTGACAAACCTCATGGGGTGTCTCTGTACTTTACCATAAAAATAAATATCAACGGGGGAGAGTCAGGATGACAGGATGGAGACAATAGGATTCTTGGCATTCCACTGTTGTTTTTGCACATAAGACGGAAGATAAATATGTAAGGACTGAGTGACAGAAAAATAAAAGAGGGGTGGCAAAACATAAAAGAGGGGAGTAAAGATAAAAGCTGAGGTGGCAATTTTCAATGAAGATTTTATATATAAAAATAGAAATATTTTTTAAAAAAATATCCAGTAGAGGTATTGACCCCCACTGGGCCTTATCTAGCTCCGTCCCTGAGTGCTTTTTAGTAATTTCATATGTGCTTGGCATGAGCCATAGCAGTGGTCTAAGTGTATTTTAAAATAAAGTTATGCTAACGAGCCTTTTCCTCTTTTTTATGGTCCTAGATTAATTTTGATAGGTTTTATGACAAATTCTTAATTTTCTAAGTAAACTACAAAGATCAAAAGAAAAAGAATCTGGAAGTGTGCACACACACGCGCAAATGCACTCGGTCAATTCAATACAAATCAACCCAGAGAAATTTTTAGCATCATCGTTCAAGCAACTTTTAGATTTGGTTGAGGATGCAAGGTTTTGATATATTAGATTAATCAATACAGGAATGTATATATATATATATATATTATTATTATTATTTTTTTGTTAAGTAAAAATATTGTTAAATTATCACCAGTAATATACAAAGAAATTGGTTTAAAAATTAGATCAATCAATACTTGAATGTATAAAGATATAAATTACTTATCACCGGTTATATACAAAGAAATCCATTTATAAAATAATAGCACTAGTCAAATTGCATGCGGAGAATCATAGTTTATATATATAAGGTACTAACCAGGGGCTGCAGAGGGCTGTCGCTAAAGACATGCAAATATGACATTCTTGGTGTGGATGTCAATGGACCTGCTGCACCCAAGAAATAAATGGTCAAACTAGGGAAGTATTGCAAACCCATATACTGATTTTGGATGGGGTGGATATTTCAGTAAAGGATTCATTTCTGGATTCAAGCAACATAACGAATCAAATCAGTTAATATATCTTAAGAAAACCTGGAACTGAGAATCCTGCACAGCCCAGAATACAGGGTAGTGAAGTTGCTTGGAGCACAATTTTGTAGTAATATTTCAGTACCAATTATAAAAGAAAAATCAATGTGTAAATTCCATGATGGAATATGCATAACCTAACGTGAGAAATTGTCCTAAAAATAATCCAACTAATGTTTATAAAACTACAATAAATTGCTAAATCCAACTGATGTTTATAAAATTACAAAAAATGTTTGAAGTATTACAGACAAATGAAATTAGAGAAGGTAATAGATTTAAGGAATGTAGTTCCAAATGCACATCTATTATCCAATAATTTCCGGTTATCAGAGGCCCTATAGTTCCAAATGCACATCTATTATCCAACTGGCATCATTCAAACTCACCTCCGTGGAGGTGGAAGCTTACAGCCCATATCATTTTTGCGTTCATTGTTGAACAAGTCACACATTTCTAGAGTAGAAAAAAAAAAAAATATATATATATATATATATATATATATATATGGGTAGTATTGATAACTATAAGTCATAATACCTTTAGAGTTTGTTAGCAATGTTTTGAAATTTGGTCGGTAACCAATCTAATAGATACCATTTTTGTTGATTGGGCCAACAGTTGTGATTCTATGATGCCATGGACAGCTATTTAGTGCATTAATACAATTTCACTTAGTTTACAAATATAAAGAATAAAATTATTCCACTGTCTGGAGGAAAATAACAAAAATTCAAGTTTCATGATAAGTACAAACAAAATTAATGACATTAAGAACTACAAGTTACTTTTTTTTTTTCCCCCTAAGATAACAGAAGAGTCCAGGATTGATAATAGTAGGGCTCACCAATCTCGACATTTTGCTGTAGAAGACATTAAGGCTAGTGGAGAGTTTAAAGATTACATATGATATTATGATTGTAGTATTGTAAAAGTGTTCAAAAATCGCTGAATCCAACATCCAAAAAATGCACCATCCAGAAAAGTATTAGGAAAATCAAGGTTCACCAAATAAATTCACTAATTTGTGCAACAGATGATTACTACCTATCAAACAATTCAAGGTACTATATGGTTTAGTGTCAATATTCACCAAGTAACCCAAAGCTCTAGATTGCAAAAAGAATCCCACCAGTTAATTCATACTCTTCAGTGGCACATTAATAGCAGATAACTTATATGAACATGCATCTTTTATTTCTAGGTCATGTGAATTTCGGATTAGGCTGTCATCAAGCACCAATGGTCAATAAGAGAAAAAGAGGGAAAAAAAGAAAAAAGATAAAGAAAACCCCTCATTATATTTCACACGAATTATGCACAAATCCAACATTGGAAATCCTTGTGGAGCAGATAAAAACTTTAGCAACCCGCTATCTGAAATAAAGCTAAGCAAATAGGCACGCACATCTATAGAAAATAGCATAATATACTTTTCCTATTTTAATACTTTATGTGAAGCCTCTTGCTCAGTAAAATGATAAAGCTATCCTGTCAAGTGTTAGGATGTAAATCTGAGTTTAAACAGCCACTTTTATGCAAATAATGCTAAAGCTCAAGTTTACATCCAGTCTATCCTTCCAGCATAGACAGACCAACACTGGGTAATAGTTTTTACTCAATTATTCAGTGTTTTGGTAGTAATCCTATCACAACCTGTATGCAGGACATCTCCAAGAAATTTAATCCTCACCCAAGACTAAATGAACATATATCATATCCATCTCACTTAAACCAAAATCCTTCATGTTGTAGATTTTTTTAAAAAAAACTAAATAAATACATACAAACAGCCATTCAAACCCAAGCACTAAATTTATTCAAAAATTACTAAATAAACACATACAAACAGTCATTCAAACCCAAGCACCAATATTGGTTCATTTTAACTGACTTCAATTAAAATTAGAGCCAAACAGCATAAAGAACTGACCTTTAGCTAACCCTTTGATCACCTGAGCTCCGAGCTGCGAGAATTTGGAAATGAACATAATCCTGGCAGCTACAAAACCTGGGCACAAAAATAGTATTGATGTGATCATAAATTGTATCCTTCTTTGATATTATATCAAACACTTACGGTATGTTTGGCAGCACCGTATTGGAGCTTTGGAATTGGAATTGGGAGCTCCAATTCCAAATCCACAGTTTGGATATTACAAATTAACTTGGGTTTGGGATTGTATTATAGTCCCAAATCAACAAATTGAATCCTACAATACAACCAAAGATTTCAAACACCAAATCATGAGATTTTTAACCCGATACAAATGTCTAGGACATAGTGAAGACGATGAGCCAAGACGATGCAATGAGCCAAGACAATGTCACAATTCAACAGTGCAAAGAATAAAGGGAAGCAATGGTTGTGCAGCACAATCCAAAAGTCAACAACTTGGGTTGCGACAATTTGTGACCAGAAAAAGAAGAAGAGCAGAGACGATGGGTTGCAATAATCTGCGATTAGGGCTGCGAAAGTGATTGTGATGATGGACTTCGATGGTTGACTGTGGCGAGATGTGGCTATTTGAACAGAGAACTGAAGTCGAGTCCCGATTGCAGATGTAGGGTTTCAAGTGTGATGAAGTTGCAATTGCAGATTTAGGATTCCGATTGCGATGATGTTGCGATTGTAGGTTTAGGGTTTCGAAGTTGCTGTGAGTGACGATGCGAACAGAGAATACGATTGTAGATGTAGTCTTTGACAGTTTTGATACATAAAAGACACTGCAACGTTGTATTGTCATAGATATTAGAAGGTTACATATCAATGTAGATTACTAATTCCTGGTGCAACAAACTCATTAAAACTGGTCACTACTTTGGCTGTGAATGAGGATATTATTAAATTAGAATCAAGATATGTCCTCCAAAGTTGGAGCATTACGGTAGTAAGGTGTGAGCTCCTGATGTCATCGTAGTGTCATGGAGAAGGGTAGTAGGGTGTGGGCCCCATAACTGATGTCATGATAACATCATGGAGTGGGATCCACACCCCTCTCACATAAACCTCATTCAAAATCCTCCTAATAGTCTCAATTGATATTATCGACTAATGTATCATTCACCGTGACAAATACCTAAGAGGATTGACAATCTAATCTTAATTCTTAATCTTATCTAGACAAGAGTCTTGGTGAACACCGGTTTGATACACAAAAGACTCTGCAACGTGTATTGTCATAGATATTAGAACAAACTCATTAAAACTGGTCACCATGGAATTATTATATTAGAATTAAGTTACGTCTTCCGGATTTGGAGCATTACGGGGTGGGGTGTGGGCTCCGTCACAGATATCATAGTAGTATCATGGAGAGGGGTGTGAGCCCCATAACTGATGTCATGGAGTGGGAATAAATACCCAAGAGAATTGACACTCTAATCTTAATTCTTAGGGCCAATTTGGTAACCGTTTTTGTTTGTTGTTTATCCTTTAAGCTTAAACATAATAAGTGTTTATGCGTAGCTTTTGTTTATCCATAAAAAGACACATTGTTTGATAAAGTAAAAATGTTTGGCTTATTTTAAAACAATAATCAGTTAAACTTAAACTGTTTTTTAAAATTCAACACAATAAACAAAAAAATAATAATAATAATTTGATAGCCAAAATTTGCAAAAAAATTACAATATAAATGTTTTAAAAAAATAATAAAAAAAATTTTTAAAAAAAAAGTGTATAAATTTGTTTGATAACCTATAAAAAATTGCAAGAGTTGCAATAATCCAATTTCTTGGAATTCCATTTCACAAAAAACATTTCCATTGAACATGGTATGAGGACAAAGGGTTTAGGTGCCCATTTGTGTCTAACAGGTGGATGTCCATGTAACAGGAGTCCAAGCTATGGAATGTAGTATTTAGTTCACATATACTGAAAAGAAAAAGGAAAGATAAATACTGACTTAAAATAATAATACAGTTGAGTTGGGGCCCAAGTGTATGTTGCCTTTTTTTATGCATCCATAGGAATCTTGATTCTAAAATAAAAAGGAACACTATGGTGTACCCAAAAATAGAGACAAACTAAACAATAATGAAATTAAATAAACACAATTCTGTTTGTCAATTGCATTGTGTGCTTGAATCACAATATATACAATTGAGATAAGAATCCTAATGAAACTCTTTCATGTTCAAACTTCAAAAGTAGTTCAATTCTGTCAAAATTCTAGTAGATAGAAACCTATAACTACCATTTAGTTCATTACAACTCTTTTATCATATATCTTCTATACTACTAACCCTCACAACACATTAAAAATATCTATGTAATATGAATACTCTCCATGTACTATATTCATAGAAACACTTGAGATTAGAATCCTAATGAATCACTTGTGAACAGTATGCTTCATTTTTTTTCCTTATAAGAACACAAAAATTTCCTCTACTTCATGCAATAAAAAAATTGTCAATTTCAGAACTTACATAAAATCCAAATAGAAAGCACACACAGAGACAAAAATTAACAAAATTAACCCCTGGTTGCCATTTGCTTCAAAATTAGATTATGCCTAATTGAACTCCAAAAATGGCTAAACTGATTAACAGAAAATTACATGGAATTTTAAAATAATCAACAATCATTAATGAAATGAGCTTAAGAACAAGAACTAACTGCAGATATACGCAAACAACAAAATAATAATAATAATAATAATAATTGCAAGATGAACAGGGAAATAAACTAGAGAGAGAAAAGGAGTAATGAAGAAGAAGAAGAAGATGATAATATAGGTATGGAAAGGCTACAACATGGATGAGAGTGAGGAAAGAGAGTGTGCAAAGTGAGAGAGACAAACCTGGAGCGTATCTCACCTGATGAGTGGCTGGAGGAGGAGCTCGCGGTGGACGGTGGAGGACATCGGCAGATCTGCAATGAAAGGAGTCGCGTATGGGGTTGGGGATTAGGGTTTGTACAGGTCTGTAAAATCTGTTCTTTTTTGTGTTTAGGAGTACCCAACCGTTTCTTCGGGCTCGGCTCGATTCGGTTTCAAACGAGCAACTGTAAGTTTATTCCCCATTCTGATTATCTGTTCCTTAAAATTGAAATCTTATTTATTACTATTAAATTTCATATTTATTTAATAAAAGAAATAATAATAATTCATTTATCTTTATAATATAATAATAAATATATTTTATTTATTGATCGATAGATTTATTATTGTGCATTTGTTGTTTAAATTTGTATTTATTTAATAAGTGAAATTTATGGTTTTTTGTAGTGAGTTATTGAAATAGAAATATGGTTGGAGAATTCACAGTTCTTACTCTTTAAGATGATATTTTCGTAATTAACTTTGTTAATTATTACTTAACTTATTACAATCTCCCTATTAACTTTAACTCATTAAATATAATGGTAATATATATATATATATATATATATATATATATATATATATCTTTAACATACAAGTTAGTAATCAAACATCTATCATTTTTTATTTGGTATTCTCCAAGTAAATTGATCCATCATCACTTTTATATTTTTGTACAAAATATATTACAAAATTTTATAACCAAAAATCATCCAATCCAATCATTCACAATTCAACAAAACTTATATTTATATAGTACAGATTGAATGAATAAAGATTACACTTTTATAAGCCAAGTTCATAAGCCTTTCATATAAAAAATAAATATATTAATAATTAAAAATTTAATCTATAAGCAAAATTAAAGTTATCAATTTCTAAGTGGCATACGGAGTACTCTTTAATTACTAGTAATTTGCTGAGTTATTTATATAATAATCAGTTATCAATATATATTTATATAAACTTTTATTAATATACATATTTTTTTTTCCAGAAAGTAATATACATATTATTTTTGTTACAAAGTAATAAATATACTTTAATAAGCGTGTTTAGTATTTAATAAATGAACTTATTTAAAATATTAATTAAGTCAATGCTTAGACTTAAGTTTACATTTTAGTTTTATTTTTTTAAATATGTTGGTGACGATAGTAGTTGAATAAGTTAGTTTTTTTTTTTAATTAATAAATAATTATTCTTTTTAATTGATTTGTTAAATAAATTTTATGTTTAATAAAAGAAATAATAATAATTCATTTATCTTTATAATATAATAATAAATATATTTTATTTATTGATCGATAGATTTATTATTGTGCATTTGTTGTTTAAATTTGTATTTATTTAATAAGTGAAATTTATGGTTTTTTGTAGTGAGTTATTGAAATAGAAATATGGTTGGAGAATTCACAGTTCTTACTCTTTAAGATGATATTTTCGTAATTAACTTTGTTAATTATTACTTAACTTATTACAATCTCCCTATTAACTTTAACTCATTAAATATAATGGTAATATATATATATATATATATATATATATATATATATATATCTTTAACATACAAGTTAGTAATCAAACATCTATCATTTTTTATTTGGTATTCTCCAAGTAAATTGATCCATCATCACTTTTATATTTTTGTACAAAATATATTACAAAATTTTATAACCAAAAATCATCCAATCCAATCATTCACAATTCAACAAAACTTATATTTATATAGTACAGATTGAATGAATAAAGATTACACTTTTATAAGCCAAGTTCATAAGCCTTTCATATAAAAAATAAATATATTAATAATTAAAAATTTAATCTATAAGCAAAATTAAAGTTATCAATTTCTAAGTGGCATACGGAGTACTCTTTAATTACTAGTAATTTGCTGAGTTATTTATATAATAATCAGTTATCAATATATATTTATATAAACTTTTATTAATATACATATTTTTTTTTCCAGAAAGTAATATACATATTATTTTTGTTACAAAGTAATAAATATACTTTAATAAGCGTGTTTAGTATTTAATAAATGAACTTATTTAAAATATTAATTAAGTCAATGCTTAGACTTAAGTTTACATTTTAGTTTTATTTTTTTAAATATGTTGGTGACGATAGTAGTTGAATAAGTTAGTTTTTTTTTTTAATTAATAAATAATTATTCTTTTTAATTGATTTGTTAAATAAATTTTATGTTTTAGTTCTATTAGTCATTCACGTTGTTTGTCTATTTGATGTTATTTTGAAATATATTTTATAATAAAATAAATATATCATTTATCATTTAAACAAGGACAAAAATGTTGTAATATTATTTTTATTTCAAATCCAAACTTTAAATCCAATTTATTTCAAACATATAAATGGAATTCATTTTAATTTCAATTCCTATTCCTTTTCCTTTTCCTTTTCCAATTTCCAAAAATAATTTGGACCGCAAAGTAGTGAAAGCACTCCATAACAATTACTACTAAATATTAACAAACATGTTTTTAATTATTTTATGTAGTTGAATTGAAAATTGCTCATCAAGAAGCAAGGCGGAGTCAGGATTTCAATTCAGGGCACCATGCAATATATATATATATATATATATATATATATATATATATATATATATATATATAAATGTAACTAATATAAAATACAAAAGAAGATGAATAATAAAATTATTCAAATATTTGAATTTTAAGAAGTAGAAATAGAAAAAAGAAAAGAAAAATAGAAGAATTTAAAAAAGGAAAAGTTAAGAGTTTCAATTGAAGAAGTAAAATTTAACTTCTTATTTTAAGGAAATTTAAAAAATTTGAAGAGTAAAAGAGAAATGAAAGAGTAATTTTAGCAACCACAAAAGGAGGCACTGCGTAAAAAAAATTCATATATACACACTTACATGCATAGAAACTTTTGATTCCTACTCATCATAGCCCTAAATTCTCCTCTTCCCCAGCTCTCTCCCTCTCCCGCCAGTGGCAGCATCGACCGACCACCGGTCTGTTCTCTTCAAACTTCTATACTCCTCTACTCTCTGTCTATATTTTAATTCATTTTGTTTATATATATATATATATATATGTGGTATATATTTGATTAGTAGTTGGGTGTTTTTTTTTTATTCTTCTTTTTCTAAGCATCATATGGAATTTTATTTAGTCTGATTGATTCACTCGCTTTCATGCTTGTAAATTTCTGATGTCCATCAATTAAAGACTTTGTTTTGGCTGAGGTATGCTATGTGATTTTGCTTTTTTGGTGCATGTAAGGCTGGTATAGTCACAAAAGGTTTTTTGATTTTTGATTTATTATTTATTAATACACTCGAATATGAAGGTACAAGCCTGAAAGCATCAAGTACAATTGGCAATAACTTCATACCAATGTGCATGTTTGTGCACAACAGGCTCCGTTGGAGTAATGTTGGACTAATTGTGTTAAAAATAGTTCCACAAAAATTTATTTTAGATTTATTTAGTTCAATTTTTTATTTTTTGAAAATAATTCTCAAAAACTTATAAGAACAACTTGACTCCGGAAAAAATACTCCTTTATAAGATTGCTTTTTTTGCGTTTTTTTTTCTTTCTTAACATCCATTTACTTAAGGTAATTTTTATTTTTAGCCTTGTGGTTTATACTTTATACTTCATGCTAATAATATTCATAGAAGTGATTTTTTCAATTACCCAATTGAAAAACTGCAAAATGATTAGGTAAATAGTTTTTCCCTTCTTACCCTTTTTCAGTGCAAAAGGATTTTAGGTAAATAGAATTTTTTATTTTTTTTTCTTCGCTTCTTTCATACACGTGTAATTACTTTCAAATCGTTAAACTTATAATATTTTGAAAGCATCAAATCGTTAAAGACTTTTCCCTTTTTCATTGTGCTAAATAAATAATGATTAATGCATGTGACTTAGCTTGGACGAGGATTATTTCCTAATTAGGGCATATTAGGTCTTGTTATTTTTATATTTTTTTCCTGTAAGATTCAATTTCTTGAGAAGTTAATTTTCTTTCTTTGTTGATAAAATAGATACAAGACACAAGAAATAAAAGTACAATTAGGGAAGATTCTACTTTTGAAATCTTATATATTTATTGGACAATGCTTGGATCCTGTCCTATCAAGACAAGCTTTGTCGTGCAGCCTAACATAGCTTTCTTAAATTTTGACACCTATCTTAAAAAAAATAAAAAATTAGATCGTACGGGTTCAATAGGCTACTGGGTGGAATCCATCTAATAAACCCATTGTCTGAAACTGTTCTTGGTCCATTCTTGGGTCTGGAACTTCAAAACACCTTTGAGGCTTTGACTAATCATATGAAATTTAGAATGTTCCACAACTCAAAACAAAGCCTTTTTCAACGTCGTTTTTACATGGAATTGAAGTCATTAGCTGTTCTAGCAGTTCACTTTCTGGTGTTTAGGTTTGACCCTCCATTGATCATGAAAGATCATGAGAAAATTTAAAGCAAAACAAGATTAATATCTAATATCATATATTAGTATTCTAAAAAGTTGTAGCGACAAGAATTCACAAAATTGGTTAATGAAGCATGTATACTTCTATATGGTTATGCATCGATTTCATATCTTCATCATATACCAATACTCCTTTGGCACTCGTGGACACCTGCCCGAAACTTCCTAAATGTATTCATAATTTGAGAGTATAAATATATTATTTGAACCACGTATTCGATACATTTTAGATACTTTGATTGAACATCAAAATATAAATTTTCTAAATGGAATATCTTTGTATAATTGGTTGGGACAACTTTAAAAAGATTTCAAATGTTTAGATTACGTTAAGAGAAGAACTGGATGTATCATATTTAGTCTAGTTCAAGTTTTTGTCTGTTCAATATAATCTACAGCTTTGCTGTTATTTTGTAAAAGAAAATGTTTTGTAGTACACGCATAATTATATACATATATTGCCATGTTCCTTGTTATAGACTATCTGTATATCCTATTTTCAAAAAATAAAAATCATATGACAGTATTTGTAGCTTCTCGGGTCCAATTTTGTCTCCATGATCATGCTATGGATGAGATGTTGCAGATTGAGTGAGTACTATAAATTCCATAAATAGATTTAAATAGAATGGATAATTAGCTATAAATTATATTGTTACCCAAAATCTTGGATTGAATAAGATTTGGGATAAGACTTAATTTCTTCTGGGCTGTGTTTTTAACTAAGATGGATTTTCAGAACTGAAAGCATTGAAATGATTCTTATGTGCTATGTTTCTGCTTATTTTGTATAATGTTCTAACCTTTCCCTTTTTTGACTGCTTGTATTTGAATTTCAAATTGAAAGGGGCAAAAGGCATCATCAAATTCAATGACGGAAGGGGTCCAACGTGCTCTTGAAAATGATAAACAAAAGGTGAATTTTAAACTCTAAACTACTTCCCATATGAACTCTATTTTTTTTACTGTATTTTTCTCAAACAGCAAAGGTTTAAAATGATGGAAGTTGATGTAGATTCATGATATCTGCTTAAATAATGTCTCGTTGCAATTTATTATCAATTTGTAATTCTGAAGTAAATTTAATGGGTGATTCTGCAACTAACTTTTTTTTTTGCCTTTGTACAAATTGTGTGACAAGGTTGACCTTCATTTAGAGGACCGGATCAGTCAGTTGCCAGATGACGTTCTTGTTCTCATACTCTCTTTTTTGACCTTCAAGGAAGCAACAGTTACTAGTGTCCTATCAAGTCGATGGACGTATCTGTGGACACATTACGCTCGTCTTGTCTTTGATTACCAAGAATTATATGATGACAAAGAACCATACATATATGGGCGCGAAAATTACGAGACAAAAAGGGTGAGATATGTCAATTGGGTGAATCGTGTTGTGCAATTGTATAGGGGTTCAAGTATTGAAGAATTCTGTGTTCGTTTTGATTTAGGTGAAGGTTCGGAATGTGATGTTAATAAGTGGCTCAAGTTTGCATTAGCAAAGAGAATTCAGAGGCTTGAGTTGGACCTGATTGGTTTTTTACACAATGAAAAGAGGCCTTACATTTTTTCATACCAACTGCTAGCTCAGAGTAAATGCACCACTTCAAATTTCTGTGGCATGCGTCCCTGTACATTTGTTGGATTTAATACGCTGAAAGCAATTTTTTTGAAGAATGTAAATGTGGGTGGAGGAGAAGTTCTGGAGTATTTCTTGTCCAACTGTCCAGTTCTCGAACAGATGGGTGTTCATTATTGCGAGGATCTGTTTAATTTAAAAGTTGTTGGCCCATCACTTGTGTTGAAGCAGCTGGAGATATGCTACTGTTGGGAAATAAAATCCATTGAAATCCGCAATGTAAACCTAGTTTCTTTAAAAGTTTTGGGAGAGGACATCAGCTTCCTTCTTGAGAATGTCCCTATGCTTGTTGATTTAAATATTGATGGGCGGATTTCAAAAGCCCTCACTGATATTGACGGGTGGATTTCAAGATCCTTGACGGATGTTTTTGCACAGTTTGCTTGCTGCCTTTCTCAGTTGGAGATTCTTACGTTAGATACGCATCTTTATTGTATTTTTGAGGTTTGCATGTACATTTTTGTTTCTCTTTTTTAATTGTCAATTATCTAGCACAATTACCTTACTCTTGGTGTGACTTTTCAGGAAAACGCAGAGTTTGATGTGTCTTCTAAGTTAACTAATCTCAGAAAGTTGGTATTGGTTGGTGTTGAAATCGTTCATAGATTCGCTTCACTGATTAAGGCGGCTCCTTACTTGAAGAAACTCGTGTTGCAGGTGATAACTTACGAATTTAGAATGTTGGCGTTGTTTCCAATTCATGCTTAATCATACTGCTTAATATGCCATATACTCGACTCAAATATCCCCATATATTTCCAATTCATACTTACTCATTCTGCTTAATATGCCATATACTATGACTGAAATATCCACATTTCTTTAGTTTCTGAAATATCCACTGCTTAATATGCCATACACTATGACTGAAATATCCACATTACTGCCCATGGTGTGGAGTTTATATTTGTTGCAAATCCTTGATCACTATTACTACAGGATTTTGCTTTTTAGGGTAAATTACCTTGACCTCCCCTGACGTTTGAGCTTATTACCCTCAAATGAAAGTTTAGTAAAAAAATTAGTGAACCTCCCTTAAGGTATCGTGAAATTCCTAGGGCCAACTCTCCAAATTTTTAATTCCTCTATTTTATAATTTCAATTCAAATGCATTTTTATCATAATTGCTACATATTCTTGATTCCTTGCAACTATTGTAAATTGATGGTGTATATATTGATGATTTTATGCATTATGTTTTAAGTTTTAACCATCTGCAATATTGATGTTTCATTCATGGTTATAACTTTTGATGCAAGACCTTCATTTGATTGCAGGGTCACCTACCTTGGAAGGGAATATTCCATGTCGTTTGTTCATAGGTCTCATAGACGTCACATTTACTCCAAAACAGAGTTCTAATTAAGACAATAAATTGTATTTGTAGTTTAAAATACGCTCTAATTTCCACTATTTAAGGTTCATTAGTTTCTTACTTTTCAAAAAAAAAAAAAAAACCGTTAGTTTCAACCTTTTGGATTATCATACTTGCAGTGAACAGAGAGGAACGATTATCGACACTTCATTTGTTGTTAATATGAGTGATGTAGTCCATATCACTCCTTACATTGCAACTACCATATCTTAATGAAAACATTTGAAATATTCCACTTTTTTCTTTCTTTCTCGAGAGCTAATACGTTTATATATAGTTTGTCTTGAAACCTACATATCTAAAACAATTCCTAATTATTTTTCCTGTGTCTAAGGATGTTGTGGACAAAATTAACCATCTTTTTTTGCATCGTGAAGTTGATTGGTATTTTGGATTATGGTGTTTATTTTTGGGAAGAACGAGTTGTTCCGAGAAATAAATGGCTTTGACTTTATTGGAATAATGTATAAAATCATCGTCATCATTTGGATGGGTTTGGTTATTATGCTTGTCATGAGAGAATGCGGTGATCATTGGGGTGGGTTAGTTGTATTTGTAGTCTGTTGGTTGTCATGAAGTTTTATGTTCGCAATTGCAAAAGGTTGTTCATTTCTCAATTATCTTCTGCAAGCTTGAAATAGGTTTGGTTGTACCACTTGTTGCAGATTGGGTGGTCCACACATGATTATCACAGAAATTTATTTAGAACTGAAAAATGTGTCCATCAATGCCTGGAGGAGGTGGAGTTCTTTGGATATTATGGCAGTGCAGGAGATCGTGAACTCGTCGAGTGCTTGTTCGAGAACGCGATCGCCCTCAAGAGGATTGTGATTGATGCTCGGAATCCATTACTTCCAGAAGGCCCATGTCCCGAGAGTGAATTGGAGACAGAAAAAGCTGCAAGAAATCGGGCCGAGCAGCTTAAAAAAATAGTACCTGCAGGAGTTGAACTCGTGATTGTTGATCACATGCTTGAGAATTGGGAGTTTGAGTAATATTTGAAGTTCAATTCATTTTTGTTTTGTTTTCACAGGCATAGTGCAGTTGTATTATTATTATTATTATTATTATTAAGCTAGTTACTGTTGAGTGTCTCCAGCTTTTTAGTGGAGTATGAGGGTGTTTAATTAATTTACCTATGTCCTTTTGTTATTTGGTAATTTTATAGATGTCAGTTTTTTCTATTTTTTTATTTTTTATTTTTACTTCTTTTCATATTTATTTATAAACTATATTTTTGAATATCTAGAACCTCCCCTTCTATTTTACGTTGGACGTCATTTCAGATTATAGTTTTGTATTTTATATATATATATATATATTTTATGACCAATTTGATTACCATCATCTTATTATACAAAAAAGACACATTCAAAATTTGTGTGAGAGGGAGATTGTTGTGATTAAGAATTAGTTTTGGTAAATTTCGTGTATGTAATATATATATATATATATATATATATATATATATATAAATATCATATTAGTTAATTAGTAGGGGTGACAAAAGGGGTCAGGAATCATCAACCAGTCCATATTCGCCTGCCTTTTAATGATTATAGGTGAATCATATTTAATTTGAGGATCCCGATGAGTTGGATAATTTTTAACCACTTAATTTGAGGGTCAACAAACATCTATTTTATATTGCACTCAACTCATTTCTCTCTCTAAAATTATTTCTCTCATAATCCCCTCTCTCTCTCTCTCTCTCTCTAAATTTTTCTCTTATCAATCCCCTTTATATGTTTCTCTCCCTAAAAATTTCTTCTAAAAAAAATAAATAATTCTAAAAATTAAAAAAAATTAATAATTAAAAAAATTTAAAAATTATATTTATATACTTCGTATTATATGGATATTTATACAAAGAGAAATTGCAAACCTACGATGATTTGACGTTGTATTTCGACAACCGGAAACCAAACGACGTCGGTGTATTTGGCATTTCGGGTCGACAATCAGAGCCGCGAGACGATGAAGGCAGAAAATCAGCATCGGAAAATCTGTCGGCTGCATCAGCGGACGCTGGTGAGCCCTCTAGAGTGCTGGGAACGTGATGGCACGTGTTGAGTCCTAGAGCTAGCTTCGCCTTCCTCCATTTGCTTCCCATTCGTGTTCGATCTGAACTTTCTAGAGAGAGAAAACACACATTCAGATCTTCGATTGATCTGAATCCAACGCAAGAATAGATCTCCAATTGCTCGATCTTGGATGGTCTTTCTCTAGCTCTGTACCAAACTATACATATGTGTATGTTGACCCAAAGTCTATAACTGATTTAATCCCAAAGTCTATAAAATTAAAATAAAATAAATTAAAATAAATTTTTTTAAAAATAATTAAAAAATAATAATTAATGGGTTTACGGGTCATAACGGGTTGACTCTACCCATTTACAACCCGTTCTGAACGAGTTAAATATGGGTCTTGACCCATGTTGACCCACTCATTTTCAACCCAACCCAAATCCGGCCCAACTCGCCCATTTGACACTTCTATTAATTAGTTAATTTGATAGGTTTCGGATTTTTGAGTTTCTTGTCAATAAAAAAATACTTATTAAAAAAAAAATGAAATCAAAACTGATATTTTATCCAAAGGACTAACATACGTTTAAAACAATCTAACCAACTTGCCGATTTAGGAAGTGTAAATTTGACTAAAATTCCCTCTCGTCTCCAAATATAGCAGGTGAATGAAAATAATAAACTCCAATGGACTTTCAAAAGAATTCTCGTATTTTGAGATTGTCAAAAGTATTGCCATATATAACAGCTCTCAAAATTTTTTGAAGGGACTCTTTTTTTTTTATACGGTACCATTTTTCAAAATATAGCAGGTGAATGAAAATAATACACTCAAAATAGTATTTTGGATGAAATGCACCATTAGAGCAGAATTGCTAAAATATAACATTTTGACACTGTAACTCCTCTCAAAATATAGCTTTAGCATGGAAAAATAACAGTTTGCATTGGAGATGCTCTAAGACTAGTAAATTCCAAAATATATACATCCCTTTTTCTTTTTCTTTTTTCTTTTTTACCATAATCTAAACTAGGCAAAGTGCAAAAAATCTCTAAACTATGCGAGAGTTGCAAGATACACCTCTCAACTATTTTTTGGGTGCCAATGGATCCCTTAACTTCACAAAAGTCTTTATAAGCTTAGATTATGCCATTTGTGTAAGTTATTATTGTGACATCAAAGGAGAAAAACTTAATTACGCTTTGTTATATTAGTGTCGTGGTATCACAAACTAATTAGATATTCACGCATAGTAATATGACCCATTAAAATAAAACACTTTTACTTATGTGACATGATACAATTAATTGATGAAACAAATAACGAAATACTAGATGTGCATGAAAGTTTTATCGTCATCAACATTGTTTCTTTTCTATCTCTAATGACCTTTGTTAATTAGCAATTTTTTTTCCCAGTAAATTAGTAATAAAAAAGTTAATGGTAAAGTGCAAAATACCTCCTTGAACTATATCTGAATTTGTAAGGAACCTCCTTGAACTATATTTTGTACATAATACCTAGGGGTGGCAATTCGTGTTTGTGGATCATAATCGTATCGTGTCGATGTAGGAATATTCTATTAAATAGGTAAACCCAAACCCGACCCATTTAATAATAATATCAAGAACCCTCTATACTAACACGACCTATTTATTAAACAGGTTAACATGTTAATCCGTTTAATGATATGTTTAAGCTGTTTATCCAAACGAGACATTTAATATTTAATAAAATAATAAATATTAGAAAAAATTTGTCACAATTAACCCACATATTCAACATAAGAAGAAAAATCATAAGATGTATTCAAGGTTTATATTGAAATGACTTAACCTGTTCATAGTAATTTGGTTTAAACAGGTAACATATTACATATGTCATATTAACGATTATAACACGTTAAGTTAAATGGGTTACACGAGTAGAACCCCTCAACCCTAACCCGACACGGTTAAGTAAATGGGTTAATCGTGCCAACCTATTTATGATCCGGACCAGTTTAAGGTTAACCCAAATCCACTTAATTATCTCATGTCGTATTCGAGTCGTGTCGTAATTTGTCATTCCTAAATTAATACTCCTTGAACTATCTCATTTTTTTACGAAATGCCCCATATACAATTTTCATTAAATGACCACAATGCCCTCTCTTTTTGAATTACACTTAATTTATTTTTCTTATTAAAAAAAATTATGAAAAAAAAACTCATACTATATTGATGGCATATTCTTCATTAAATTTACATAAATTTATCTTTAATTTTTATATTAATTGTTTAAATAAAAATTTTTAGTAGAAAATTATAAAACAATATAAGTAATTTCTTATTTTTTCCATAAATATATTGCATGAAAACGAAAGTATTTTTTATTTAAATAATTTCTTTAATTTTTAATGAATATATGGTATGAAAAAGAAGATATTTTTGATGATAAAAAAAAAATTTAAACTGAATAGAAGAAGTTTTATTATAATAGTATAGTTTAATTATAAGTTAATCAGATTAAAAATATATGATTACAAATTTATTTAATTTTTTCCATTTTTATGATAAATCGATACTAATACTAATAATCCCACCATTCTTCTCAGAATGCCCGAAAAACGTGGAATTGACCCATCATCATTCATCGGGCTTAATCCAGGTCTGGAACCCAGTTTTATCACCATAGGAGTAAAATGGTCATTTAGGAAAATTTAATTGTTCGATCACCAACCAAGCCTCATTGCAAGATTAACAGGGAAATAAACTAGAGAGACAAAAAGAGGAATGAGGAAAAAGAAGAAGAAGAAGAAGATGATGGTATAGGTATGGAAAGGCTAAAACATGGATGAGAGTGAGGAAAGAGAGAGTGTGAAAAGTGAGAGACAAACCTGGAGCGTATCTCACCGGATGAGTGGCTGGTGGAGGAGCTCGCGGTGGACGGAGGAGGACATCGGCAGATCTACAATGAAGGGAGTCGCGTATGGGGTTAGGCCCTTAGGGTTTGTGAAGGTCTGTAAAATCTGTTCTTTTTGGCTTTTCAACCTGATTATTGTGTATTGCAGCAGCCAACAGTAAGTTTTAAATTCCCAATCTGATTATCTGTTCCTTAAAATTGAAATCTTATTTATTATTAGATTTCATATTTATTTAATAAAAGAAATTCTAATAATTCATTTGTCTTTATAATATAGTAGTAAATATATTTTATTTATTGGTTGATAGATTTATTATTGTGCATTTGTTGTTTAAATTTGTATTTATTTAATAAGTGAAATTTATGGTTTTTTGTAGTGAGTTATTGAAATGGAAATATGGTTCGAGAATTCACAATTCCTACTTTGTACCTTTAAACACTAAGCACAACTTGGACCACAAAGCAGTGAAAACACTCCATAACAATTACCAAATATTAACAAACATGATTTTTTTATTTATTATTTTATGGTGTTAGAAATTGAAAATTGCTAGTCAAGATGTAGGGACGGAGTTAGGATTTTTTATATATTAATAAAACATGAAAAATTATTTTATAATTTTAATTAAAAAATTAATATAAAAATTATTAAAATAAATACTAACATGACATAATTAAACAAACAGAAAGATAAAAAATAAAAATAAATTAACATGATTAATGCAATACAAAGAATAAAATATAATTAAATAAACACAAAAATAATAAAAAATTCAAAGAATAATGTACATGTAATAAAACAAATTATTTTGAACCATGTTGTGAAACATGTCAATCAAAATAAATTAAAATATTTTTTTAAAAATAAATGGTGACATGACATAATTAAACAAACAAAAAAATAAAAAATAAAATAAATTAACATGATTAATGCAATTCAAAGAATAAAAAATAATTGAAAAAAATAACATGATTAATGCAATTTAAAGAATAATGTACCTGTAATAAAACAAAGAATTTATTTTAATTGTAACTTATTTTATTATTTGCTAATTATTTT